TTTTTGTTTCTTAATGTTAATGTGTTTTGTGTGTGTTTTTGTTCTCTGTGTGTTTATCCTATAATTATTATTATTGCTACTCCATTGTGTGTGTGTGTTCTTGGAGACTCTCTGTGTCCACCTGGGCTTGCACTGTAATGATGATGATGAACTGTTTTTTGCAGTGAGGGAAAAGAATATAATGATAAAAACAGATGAATTTCTATTTATAATTGCGTATGCATGCACACATATAGACTTATACCCATAGTTGGTGTATATTTCTGTGTTTACTGGGTAAATTGGGCTAATGGTTAATATTTGTTTCTTTGCATGATGATTTTGCTGGGTGGTTCAGCCTTTTTTGAAATATTTGTGAGTGTGGGCTTTTTTTTGTTTTTACTCTTACTGAGGTTATTGCGCTGTATTGCATTCTTTAACTGGTAGGTTTTACTTTCACGATGTGAATTTCCATAGTGGTAATCGATTTTTGTGTGTCCTAACATGTTTAATACTTTATTTATTCTCTTTCTTTACTTTTTTGATTGTCTTTCTTTCTGGATCAGTGTTTTTACGTGAAACAAACCCTTGTCTATCTCATGATGATGATGATGCGCCGTATGATGTGTGTGTTGGCCGTTGTGCTGTGCTGTGCCTGCGGGTATACCATGACGGCTGCTGCTACTACGACTACTGCTGGACAACCAAAGGCGGTGATGGCGATACTTGATGAGGGTGACAAGGTTGGTGAAAATGAGGGTATTTTTGGAGGTCTCTATGAAAAAATCCCCTACAGAGAGGGTTCTGGTACCTCGCAATCGCATATCAGTGGGGGTCTTGTTACAAGTTCCACTGGCATTGAAAGAGGTGAGCGAGGTGATGCTCACGGCAAGCAAACCTCAGTAAGAGAAGTTAGACCTTCAGAAAGTGAGTCCTTACCAGGTGCTTCTGGCTCACCAAACACTGTGAACACTCTTACAGAAAAACAGAAAACAGCAACTACACACACACCATCACCACATCCTGCAGCTGCAAAGAGTATGTCGTCATCAGGAACTACAGAATTAACTACAGCACTAGAAGATGACCTTAAAAGAGCGTCAGCTGAACCCGTAACTGCAACTACAGCAACTGAATCATCTGAAGGTGTTGGTTCCAATACCATTAAACAACCAGCTGAGTCTGAAAAAGCCCCAGATAACAGTACTGTTTATCATGGTAATGTTTCGCAGCATTCTTCTCCAGGCGAGGAGAGTACTGCACCAATTGATGGTAGTTCAGGTAACCAATCTACTTCAACTCCAGGAGCTGCTGCTACGTCACGCTCAGAAGAAACAAATACCACTATTCTGCCTAATACTGAGAATACTGTCAGTGAAGAATCAACCGCCACTCCTTCTCGTGACTCTAATCTTACTCAGCAATCTACTGCAACTGATGATGTGACTGCCGTACCAAACTCACCAGAAACCAATACTACAACTCCGCCGAGCTCCGAGAACACTGGTGAAGCACCAACCACCACTCCATCTCCTGTTCCTGTACCCAACGCAGGGATCAACACTATTGCTTCCGCTGTACAGAATAACAAGGCTAATGTTGACAGCAGCAGTATCAGTCCTGTGTGGATGCGTACTGCAGCACCGCTACTGATTGTGGCTGTGTTGGTCTCCGCTACTGTGTACTGAACGGTGGGACTCATCTGAGAGCGAACAATAATAATAATGATAATACTAACATAATCATAATTGCGTACATCCCTCATGGGTGAGTGAAAATAATAATCTGTTTACCAGCGTTTTCTTTTAATTGGATTATTTTTTTTTTTTACTTTTGTGTGTGTTCTTTTTGTAATAATTCCATTACTTGCTTTTCCCGTTATGTGTGTTTGCAGAAAACTGGGCTGTTCTGCTCACTGACGGTATACATCTCTTGCTAGTACACACAGATGTGTGTGTGCAGTAATTTAATATACAAAATAGAGCCATGGGGTATTGTGTGTGTGTGTGTGTGTGTTTGGCTCTCTCTTATTTGGGTATTGTGTGGTGTTTTCTTTTCTTTTCTATTAAAGGACACATACTATCATACAAGTGGAATATACCTTTTTGGTTGCTTTACTGTGCAGTTACTCCTTTTCTCTCTCTTTTCCACTGTGAGTATTTGTTGTATTGGTGTATGTTTGTGTGTTTCTATCTCAATTCTTTTCTTGTGTTCCTCTTTCTTCCTTGCTTCAGTCTATTGAAGTAATCAGCAACAATGACAAAGGCTGTAATGGTGAGGTGTTACCTGCTCTGTTTACTAACTCTTGCACTGTGTTGTGCTTGTGGGTTAGTATGGGCTGATAGTACTAAAGCTTCAAATGCCCTTATTAAAACTTCTACTGTCGGTGTTCCTTCTCTTGTTCATCGTGCTGTTCCTGCGTTTATTATCTGTTTTGGTGATGATGAGGATGATGATGAGTGTCACTATAAGAAGGAAGAAGATGATATTGAGTATAACGAGGATGGTGTTTCTCGTGTTGTGGGTGAATTGGGTTCTTCAAGTGGCCATTCTTCCACTGCTGCCGAGGTACCAGGTGCTGCTCCTGGTTCTAAACAGCAGGGGTCAAAGACTCCTGAAGAGTTAAATGAAAGAACCCAAGTGGATCAACACGAGAAACAAATAACTGAGAATCAGGAACAACCGGGAAATGGAGAAATCTCCACACCATCTCAAACTTCAGGGATTAATGGTCAGGGAGATTCTATACCCCTTGAGGTATCCCCTCCTGCAGAGTCAGGTAGAGGATCAGTGGGAAGAGATGGAAATACTGAAGAAACCACAACAGTGTCTGAAAAACCATCACCAGAAAATAAACACGCTGCTCATCAAAGAACGCCATCGGGTGGACAACCACAGGATGGCACAAACACTCACATTACACCAAATGAAGAGACCCCAGTCACATGAGTATCAGGTACTACTGACGGTGAACAGATTTCTGCCAATGCACCTCAGAATACACCTGAGACTTCTTCGACCACTTCAGCCACACCGATTGCTAGTGAATCTGGAGATGCACAGAATGAATCAACAAGTACCCAAGAAGGTAATGTGGGAAGTGTTGACACATCAACCACCACCACCACCACAACAACAACAACACTTCCTCCTGAACTCACAAACAACAAGAAGGGTGATGCAGACAGCAGCAGCAGTATCAGCAGTTCTGTGTGGGTGCGTGTACCACTACTGATTGTGGTTACACTGGCCTGTATTTTTGTGTGCTGATTGTGGTGGTGTGACTGAGGTCATCCTTTGTTTTCCTTTTTTCTTTTTTTGCATACATCCCTACAGTCTAACTAATCTTCCACCTTTTGGGTTATCTTTTTCTTTTTCGTTTCTTATTGTTAATGTGTTTTGTTTTATTATCTTTATATATGTTACTCTATTTTCTGTGTTTTTGGCTACTTTATGCTTTACCCAGTATAATGGGATGGTCTGTTTTTTGGAATGAGAAAATGAAATAATAATAACATGTATATACATGCGTAATAGGGTATACAACTATTTATACTCACACTTGGTGTATTTCTTTCCTTTAGTTGGGTAATTTGGCCTTGTTATTAATTTGTTTTCTTTTACTATTGGTTGTTCGTGTGCCCCTTGTGCTTTGTGCAGCACTGTTTGGTTTCTCTGGTTTGTGTAAAGGAAAAGTCGTAAAAAAAAATATATATATACACCTATTTATTTGTAATTGTATATGCGTTGACAGGCAAACACACTGTTATATACTTGTTTCTTGTCTTCATCAGTTGTTTGTATTTTATATTTGTGTTTTTTTTTGTGAAATATGGGATTTTTTTTGTTTCTTCCTGGATAGTTTGGGCTTGGTCTTTAATTGGACTATGAGTGACGTTGGATTATTGTTTCTTCGGTGTTACTAATTATATTTTCGTTTCCTCCTTATGTTGTTTTATGTGAGTGATTGTTGTGTGTTGTGCTCTCCTTTGTTTCTCTTTGTGTGTGTTTCTAATATATTGCGTGTTTGTATTAATTTTCTTTATCCCTTCTTCTTTCTGCATTCAAGTGGCCTATAACAAGAAAATAGTTTTTGCTCTTGTGATGATGTCTCGTGTGTTGTGTTTTCTCGCTTTGGTGTTGAGTGTTGTCTCTTTGTGTGTGTCAGCTGAGACGCCTACTTCTCTTAAAGATGATTCTGCTGGTGGTCCTTGTACTGAACCTGCTAATGTAAAAACTTGTTCTCCTACCCCTTCTGCTGGTGCCCCACCTCCACCTCCAGGTCCACCACCACCACCTGGTCCTCCTCCTCCTCCTTCTACTCCTTCACGGTCTGGCGGTGATAGTACTTGTCCTTCTGGTTCCACTTGTAATACTGGCCTCGATACAACTCAACATTCTAGTCCAGATTGTGAGACGTCTACTGGGACGGAAGGTTGCATTCCTAAGAATCCTACGAATGAAGACAGTTGTCGTGATGGATCTCGTGGTACAAATTGTCCACAACCACAGCAGGACCCGGGTCGAAGTACAGATACTCGTCGAGAAGAAGATCAGGAAACTGGACAAACAGGTCCCACTGGTGTTTCTGGTAAACCAGGGGAAGCTAGGGCGGGAACTGGTGGACCTCGTGGTGTTGCTTCTTCTTCTTCTGAACCTGCTGTTCCTGGTCCTACTCCTACTCTTCCTTCTCCTACACCTTCTGAGGGGAGTGCTGTTGAGTCTTCAGGTGAAGGCCAAACTGGAGGCAAGGGCAACCATACACCACGTGAGGGTGAAAAAGGAGATAACAATGAAAATGCAGAAACTCAACCTTCTGCTGACTCTCCTAACACTTCGGACACAGTGAGTGGTGATGGTTCTGATAATGCAAACACTGGGAGTGTCAGTACACCTGCAGAGAGTGAATCATCAAATAACCAACAAAGTGTGGGAAATACAGACACAGATACAACCACCACCACAACAACAACAACAACACTTCCTCCTGAACTCACAAACAACAAGAAGGGTGATGCAGACAGCAGCAGCAGTATCTGCAGTTCTGTGTGGGTGCGTGTACCACTACTGATTGTGGTTACACTGGCCTGTATTCTTGTGTGCTGATTGTGTGGTGTGACTCAGGTCATCCTTTGTTTTCTTTTCTTTTTTGCGTACATCCCTACAGTCTAACTAATCTTCCACCTGTTGGGATTTCTTTTCTTTTTTTTGTTTTTTAATGTTAATGTGTTTTGTGTGTGTTTTTACTCTCTCTATGTTTATCCTATAATTATTATTATTGCTACTCCATTGTGTGTGTGTGTGTTCTTGGAGACTCTCTCTGTGTGTGCACCTTTTGCTTGCACTGTGATGATGATGATGATGAACTGCTTTTTGCAGTGAGGGAAATCAGGAAAAAATAATAATAGATGAATTTATATTTATAATTGCTTACATATACACATAGATAGACTTACACCCATAGTTGGTGTATTTCTTGTGTTTACTGGGTAAATTGGGCTAATAATTAATATCTGTTTATTTGCGTGATCTTTTTGCTGGGCTCGTTGAGCCTTTTTTAAGATATTTATGAGTGTGGGCTTTTTTGTTTTTACTCTTACTGAGGTTATTGTGCTGTATTTCATAACTTAACTGGTGTGTGTTTTCTTTTGTGATGTGAGTCTCCATAGTGGTAATGGATTTGTGTGTCCTAACATGTTTGATACTTCATTTATTTTCTTTTTTTCTTTTTGATTGTTTTCTTTCTAGATCAGTGTTTTTACGCAAACCAAACTATTGTCTCTCTCTCATGATGATGATGATGATGGGCCGTGTGATGTGTGTGTTGGCCGTTGTGCTGTGCTGCGCCTGCGGAGCTGTTGTAGTAGTTGCAGTGTCAGCTGATGGTCCTGATGTAAAGAGTGATCTTCGTGAAGAAAAAGACAAAAAGGACAAGGAGCGAATGAATGATTTGGTGGGGTATGCTCATGATTTTAGTTTCGTACACTGGTCTACTGGTTTGAGCAAAGAAGGTAGGGAAGCAGCTGAAAAGGAGGAAGAGTGTAAGAAGGAGAATTCTAAACTTGACGATGAAACTTGTAAGAAGATTGGAGTCGTTCGGAAGGCTGCACCGTCACAAAAGCCACTGGCTCCCGAGAGAACTAAAGAGGGGGTTCCTCAGTCCGTTGGAGGAAGTGGTCTGGGTAAAGGGAATGATCATTTGCCAGAGGTTTCAGCAGAAGGCACACCAGAAGGTGCTGACCGTTCCCCTGCTGCTGCACAACACAAACCAGATGCTGATGCTACTACAACACAAAGCCAAAATCAAGAGTCTAATACGCTACCACAAGAACACCAAGGAACACCGAGCAACACATCTGATAACACTGCAGCCGGTGATGGTAATCCTAACCAGCAGTCTTCTGCAGCTGAAGGTGCGACTTCCACAGAAGGTTTACAGGAGAATGCCAATGCTGACTCAACGGCCACCACCACCACCACCACCACCACAACAACAACAACAACAACAACCCTTCCTCCTGTTCCTGTACCCAATGCAGAGATCAGCAGCAACATCGCTTCCGCAGTTCAGAAGAAGGCTAATGTTGACAGCAGTCTCAGTCCTGTGTGGATGCGCACTGTAACACCGCTGCTGATTGTGGCTGTGTTGTTCTCCGTTACTGTGTACTGAACGGTGGGACTCATCTGAGGTCGAATAATAATAATGGTAATACTAACATAATCATAATTGCGTACATCCCCCATGGGTGAATGAAATAATAATCTGTTTACTAGCTTTTTCTTTTAATTGGAATTTCTTTTCTTTTACTTTATGTGTCTGTATTTATTTCCTTTTTCTAATAATTCCATTACTTGCTTTTCCCGTTGTGTGTTTGCAGAAAACTGGGCTGTTCTGCTCACTGACGGTATACATCTCTTGCTAGTACACACAGATGTGTGTGTGCAGTAATTTAATATATGAACTAGAGCCATGGAGTATTGTGTGTGTTTTATTGGACACTCACTGTGTGTGTGCCTGGGCTTGCACTGTAATGATAATGAACTGTTTTTGTAGTGAGGGAAAACAGGAAAAAATAATAATAGATGAATTTATATTTATAATTACGTATATACACATATAGACTTACACCCATAGTTGGTGTATATTTTTGTGTTCACTGGATAAATTGGTCTAATGGTTAATATCTTTTTGTTTGCTTTAGTTTGCTGGGTCATTGTTTGCTTTTGCCCTTCACGGTTTTTGGTAATCTGTTTTATAAGAGCAAAGGAACAAATAGTAGTTATTACAATTTGTATTCGTAATTGCTTGAACACAGCAGCATACTCAGTGGTCTGTGAGTTATTTTTGTGCAGTTCGTTCTGCTCTTAATTTGTGTTTTTTTTTGTTTTCTTTGCTTGGGCACTGTGTGCTTTTTCCTGCATTGTTGTGTGTTGTAGTGTTTGTGCAGTGAGAAAAAATAATAAAGAATACATAAGTATATTTGTAATTGTGCTTGGTTCTACACGAAGAGGCATTTTGATGTATTTCTGTGCTGTCTACTTCTGATGGTTGTACTCTTTAATTTCTTTTTCTTTTGAGGGGTTATTGGGATTATCTGTTTGTTATTGGGTACTGTGTTCGTTGTTTCTTTTATTTGGGCGATTATCTGAGTTATGGTTGCAGTTTTCTGTTAATTGGGTGCTTCTGCTGTAATTGTTGAATGTTGTTTGATTTGGTGTGTTCTTATCTTGTATTGTTTCCATTGATTCTATTTGTTTCTGGTTTTTCTATGTGGTTTTATTTTTCTGTAAGCGATTGAAGTACGACTACTGCAAGAAGTATTGTAATGGTAATGATGCGCTACGTGCTGTGTATCCTCGCTCTCCTGCTCTCATGTGCGTGTGTGCACGTCCTCGCTGAAGAAGTGCCTGCCGCCGATCTTTCCGACCAAGTCCCTGATACGGAGAGTGAGACAAAGATTCTTCTTCAAGGTACTCCTGTCGCCCAACAAACTGGTGACGCTGGTTGCTCTAAAGGTACTGCTGAAAAAGGTACTTGTATTGCTACTGGTGCCGAAACTGTTTCTGGCTGCACTGGTGGTACTACTGGTACTTGTACTCAACATGGTAGATCGTCTGTGCAGGATGGAGGTTATACTGAGTATGGTCACGCAGAATGGGAGGAGTTTCCTGCAAAAGCACATGTAAACAGTACATGGAGAGATTCTCGTTTGAAAGTCGAAGATGAACCAAAGGTGACCCTTCCCAACCCAGACTCTCATCGTCCTGAGGTGTCTGGTATGGGTGTTGGGGACAACCATTCTCAAGATCCTGCCGGTGATTCCCTTGGTCCTGGAGCAGGTGCACTGCAGCCTTCAACAGATAAACACACTAACAAGCCTCCATCGATTGATTCTGCTCAAGACGCTGCTACACATAATGCTTCTCTCAGCACAGAAAATCAAGTAACAGAAGGGAATAAATCGACAATTGATAATGGTACACTTGGTGTCTCAACTGACTCTCCGGACAGCACCAACCATTCTCAGGCTTCAAATTCGACTGCACCTAATTCTACTTCTGGCGCAGACTCACAAGAAACCAACCCCACTACTCCGGCTAGCACCGATAACACTACCACAGAAGCACCAACCACCACTCCATCTCCTGTACCCAATTCAGGGATCACCTCTATTGCCTCTGCAGTGCAGAAGAACAAGGGTAATGTTGACAGCAGTATCAGTTCTGTGTGGATGCGCACTACAGCACCGCTGCTGATAGTGGCTGTGTTGTTCTCCATTACTGTGTACTGAACGGTGGATCTCATCTGAGGACAAATAATAATAATGGTGATTCTAACATAGTCATAATTGCGTACATCCCCCATGGGTGAATAAACTAATAATTCGTTTATCAGCTTTCTCTTTTAATTCGAATATCTTTTTCTTTTACTTTTGTATGTGTGTGTTCTTTTTCTAATAATTCCATTACTTGCTTTTCCCGTTGAGTGTGTTTGCAGAAAACTGGGCTGTTCTGCTCACTGACGGTATACATCTCTTGCTAGTACACACATATGTGTGCAGTAATTTAATACACATAAACTAGAGCCATGGGGTATTGTGTGTGTTTGGCTCTCTCTCTTATTTGGGTATTGTGTGGTCTTTTTTTCTTTAGGGGTACATATTATCATTGCAAGCGGAATATTCCTTTTTGTCGCTTACTGTGGAGTTGCTGCTTCTCTCTCTATTCCATTGTGAGTATTTGTTGTATTGGTGTATGTTTGTTTATTTCTATCTCAATTATTTTCCCTTTCTGTTTCTCTTTTCTTGTATCAGCCTATTGAAATAATCAACAACAACAATGGCTAAGACTGTAATGATGAGGTGCTACCTGCTTTGTGTACTAACTCTTGCACTGTGCTGTGCTTGTGGGTTGGTATGGGCTGATAGTCACAACGCTTCTGATGCCCTTATTAACACTTCCACTGTTGGTGCTCCTTCTCTTGTTCATCATGCTGTTCCTGCGGCTGTGAAACCTCTTCAACATGCTGGGAAAGGGGAAGGTGAGGAAGATGAGGATCTTGAGGGTTTTGATGATCTTGAGGGTGAATTTGATGATCTTGACGATCTTGATGATCTTGAGGGTGATTATGAGGATGAGGATGAGGAATACGAAGAGGAGGAGGAAGAGGGAAACACTGCACCTTCAAGGAGTTCTGTGAAATCCCGCACTCCAGCTAATGCTGAACCAAATGACAAGAAGAGTAATGCCGACAGCAGCAGCAGTATGAATTCTGTGTGGGTGCGTGTACCACTACTGATTGTGGTTACACTGGCCTGTATTCTTGTGTGCTGATTGTAATGGTGGTGTGACTCAGGTCATCCTTTGCTTTCTTTTCTTTTTTTTGCATGCATCCCTACAGTCTAACTAATTGTCCACCAGTTGGGATTTCATTTTTGTTTCTTAGTGTTTTGTTTGTTTTTGGGCTACTGTGTGCTTTTCTTTCCACCAATGACAACTTGTCTTGTGCAATGAGATAAAATATATATAACAGATACACTTTTATAC